TAAAAAATTTCAAAGACCGCATTGAACGAGAGAATGAGGATCTCCTGCATTTGCTTCTTACAATGTGGCCGTTCACCATTGTAAGAAGGTCCATTTGATTCAAGGGTCACTAAGGTCGACAAGGAAACGGCGCACTGGTGCAAAAGTTGATACTGAAGTGTTCTGGCACAGAAATGGGACAAGCTGTGTCTTTGTTTTTGTTTTTGAATGAATAACATTGGTTTACGTCACCTTTTGGTGTCCACTTGGAACCCTGGCAAACCAGGTGTCAGAAATAGTACCTGACCCGACCTACTTTTGTCACTCGTGATTACACAGAGCCATGCACCAGGTCGCGCAAAAGGCTGTCGCAAAAACTTGATCGATGGGGAATCTTGCTTTGGATTTAAGTGAGACATTAAGACGCCACATCCAAAAGATGGACCAACTGGACTGGAGTGGAACAGTCACACTGAGTCAGACAGATAATGTTTTTGAATTGCTTGGCCTTGGCGGAGGTCTGTACTCCTACTCAATGCCAGATGTCGAGCATCTGAGCGTTGTTGTTTTTTTTTGTTTTTTTTAATGTCACTTATTGACCAGTGATTCAAATAAACATTCCAGGCATGGTCAATTAGCTACAAAGCTGCCCCATTATCGAGATTGAGGCATCAGGACTCCCAAGGGACCATCCATCAGCCTTATCATGATCTAAACTTTGAGCATCGGAGAACTTGATGGGTGAATGTTTCGCTCAGCTCCCGGCCCAATGTTTTGATTGAATGCGTGTATGTTTGGATTTTCAATGACCGTCCTTGCTAAAAGGGTGAGCTAAAACATTGTTAGAGCGCTAAAACATTAATGTGACATGGAATTATTCGTTTTGACAAGAGTAGGCCGTGCTGGGTTACGATTACAGTGGCTGAGAATATTCCCTGTAAATGGCAACCTTTGAGGCTCTGAATAGGCTTTTTGTGCACCTCTTAAATTCATCTGGCCCACCAAAGGTAACCGGCAATGAAAGCAGCACCCGGACGGCTCTCTCCTGTTTTAAAGGTCTGAGTGTGACCCACTAGTGCGGTTGCATGAATGCCCGCCTGTGTTTGGCTGCGGGCCAGCGATGGTTTGACTGCAAAGTCTTGGGTGTGAGGAAGCAACTCTGAGGCATCTCTCGTTGTTTTGAATATTTATAGCTGTGCTGACATTTGTAGCTCTCTGCTGGGGAAAAGCCCAAGGCGACACCATTCTTCTTCTTTTTTTTTTTTTTTTTTTTTTATCTTTCTCACAATGGTGACAGGTGAATCTATAACGTTCATACCGGTTGATGAGATCAAGAAGCGAGATATTTGGGTGGGCGAAAGCATCAATCGTATGCGTAAAAAAATTTGTCTCACATACTCGTTGAACTATTTTCATTCTGTTCCATTGTACTTGTAATAGTCGAAACCTTTAAAGTGACTCATGGCACTCAAGAATTGCTGTACCAATAAGTCATTTCCATGTTGCGTTTACACAAACGACACCTCAGCACGGGCTAACGGCAGCACAGCAATGGCAAATCTGAAGAGACATATCGCAGTACAGGTCATATTATTCGAAACTGCCTCAAACATCAATTTTTCTGGTCGTATCTTTCGATAATCATTCACAACTAGATTCTGCACCTTTTAATGTTGTTCCCGCCACAGTTTGCATGAATGTAATGGTGGCGTATTCTCCATTCACAGTTGCACTGCACATTTCATTCTCATCCTACTTCTTCCATGAGATTATCTGTGAATAATTTAGTGGCAGCGCTGGTTTTGGCCAGCGTACGTCCGTCTCGTCCAAGCAAACAGCTGAAGCTGGCTGCTAGTGTCTTGCTATTTAGGAACAAGATGATGTCATTGTTCGAAGCACGTTTGCTTGCAAAAGCCCAACTGATTATTATCTTAACGTGCACTAAACCACTAAGATTGAAAGACATAATTACTATTTTCCTTTTTTTTTTCTCTCTTTTTTTTTTTTTTTTTTAAGAGGCTGAATCCCCTTCGGGCAAAACACTCCATTTAAACTTTTATATGCAGTGAGGGAGTGATGTCAGAATGAGGGGTCTGCACCATGCTTGTGGGCACATTGGCCGTGCTCTCGAAGCAAATTGGCATCTCTAAATTGCTTAAATATAACAGACGAACGACATGGAGATAGTCCATTAGTTCCACCTTGTAAAAAAAAAAAAAATGAAATTGACGACAATGTTGCAAATGAGATATATATATATATATATATATATATATATATAAAATCGCCTACAAGATCTCTTGAGCCATTATATTTTGTTATACATTGTTTTGCTGTTTCATGTAGCGTCATGAATTCCAGTCGGAAAAGGTTAAACTGCTCATTTTGAATGTCTCCATTGTGAGTGTCATTCGAAAAAGTTGCCTAGCAGCAGCCTATTCTTAAGCCCTTTGGCCAAAATCCAAATAGTGGACCATGAAAGTAGACAATCATTCATGTGGACTCATTGTGACACGGGAGATTGTGTGCAAACTGTAGTCACTTCACTTCAGCAACGTCGCAACCACACACTGTTGGTACCGCTACTCTTTCCTCTGTAATTAACCAGAGAGGCCTGAGGCACATCCATGTGGCTGACATGAATGCCTCCCCTTTTCTTTTTTCTTTCTCGGCCATGCACACACAAACTCTTAGTGTAGCCGCATGTGTGTACAATATGGGAGGTCCTGAAACTGTAGTCCTCCTGAATTAGAAGGGAAATGGTGTGTTAAATGTCTGTCTGTCGTAAATGTCTATCTGTCTTTTTGGCATCCTATTTCAGCCAGTCATATGTTTTTAAATCCTCTGCTCTTAGTACGCTAGCCCAGCGAACTTTGGGCGAAAGGCGGACTACATCCTGAACTGGTCGCCAGTCAGTCACAGGACACATTTTTTAATCATTGAATACAGATTTTTTTTAGTTTTTTTTTGTATGCGAGTGAGCTAGAGTACTTTCTTAATCAAAGAGAGTGTCATAAAAATGAAAGCGTTTAACAGACTTCACTTTGCACTTTGTTTTTTTTTTTTTCCAATAGGACATTTCTATTGTGATTGTGTGGAGCAGAATGTTTTCATTTTGACTCAAGCAGTTTAAGGGGAAAATAAAATGCCTCGATCCATATTTTTGTATTTATATTTCCATTGACATTGAAACAGTTCTTGCTCGGTGCATGAAAATTAGATGTGTAGATTTTTGTATCCCTTGCACACACACGTAGACGAAGCTAAATGATCAGAGCATTTTAACTTCCTGCGTCTTCCTTGCCTTTTTGTCACAGAGATGTCTGAAGTTAATGTCGCATGAAGCCCCTAAATCAATATTTGCTCAGCAATTTGCTTCTAAAAAGGTCAAATAGTGCCACATGACGATGTTTGCTTTTATCGTGTACCTTTTAGACACAAAAATGCTTCGCTGAATGAGGAAAATGCAAAGCAGAGTCGTAAAAACGCTTCTGGGGGGGCTTTGCATTCTTGTTATGCATGCAGGAAGTGGGAGTGCGGCTCATTAGGGTTATCAGGGGGATGTTTATTTGTCCCTCCTGCTTTTGCAAACTAAAAGCTCCTCCTCTGCAGCCTGTTTGCTTCATATGCGTGTGTGAAAAGCGGAGGAGGAGTGTTTCGGGACAGTTTGTCTGTCTGGCGGGGAGAGGGGGAGGAGGGAAATCGGGGGGTAATGTCTGATGAATGGGAGGACAGGTCCCTGTCCTAGCTGGAGCTTCCCATCAGCCTTTGCATGCAGTCTCACAGAACTCTTTATGGCCTTGGCTTTGGCGCCAAATCTTGCACGTACGTGCCAATGGCAACAAGGTTACTCCCCCGTGGATTGTCCACTATCCCCATTTCCAGGCTTGCATATTTTTAGTATTTACAGAAGCAAAGACATTCAGACTTGATTTGGACAATTCCTATGTGTTTATCGCTTTTTTCATCCATCTACTTCCTGGTTCACAGAGGAGGACCATGAGGATGAGACGTATATATATTTTTTCTTGAGATGCGAGCGCTCAATGCTGGCAAGGAACGTCAACAACAAACAGTAGACAGTGAGCAATATTTCTTCGAAAAAGGCGGCCAAGTGCTTGCATATTGCCATTTCCGGTTTAAATGTTCACATGAAGCTAAAAGTGTTACACATGGTGTATTTAATCAATCCACCAAAATGTTAACACAATGCAAAATGATGGTTTCAGAAGTTTCAGCAAGGGATAATTGAATCCAAACAGTGAAGTAACTCACGGACAGACAATTATGACATTGCTCACAGGCGTATATTCTTTATCCTTTGTGAAAAATACTTATATTACTGCAGCTTACCGAGTCACGTCGTTGTGAAACTTGGTTGAAACCCACAATTCTGAATGGAAAGTCCACATTACTCATCTTTGGATTCTCTTGGCAGGAATTGAAGATATTCCGATCGCTAATCCTGGGCGAGCTAGAAAGAGGAGAGAACCAGTACCAGGCGCTGTGCTTCATCTCCCGTCTCGGCCGCAATGAGATCATCCCCAGCGAGTCCATGGCCCGCCTCAGACAGGTACCGCGCGGCACCAAAATAAAAGGCGACTACATACATTTTGGATGCTGATTTATTGTGTGTGCGTGCTTGCGTGCGCGCATGCATATTATCTTAGAAAAACCCGCATGCCATTCGCTTGGCAGAGGAGCGTCGCGGCCTGGAGCAGCTGACCATGAGCGCATCTGTCAATGGGAGCCGGGCCTGGCAGCTGAGCGGCCACATCCACAACATGTGCAAAGAGGCCCGCGAGGCCATCTACACCACGGAGGCCGACGTCAAGCACTGGCTGGACAAAGGTCAGGGGGTTGCGTTTCTTTGTTTACCTTTGCAACTTTCCTCTTATCCTTGGAATGTCTCCATTAGATTCTGTTCTCACACTTTTTTTTTTTTTTATAATTGTAACACTATCATCTCCACTTCCTATCGCCGAGACTCTTCTCTCCTCTTAACTCTGACATGACATGACTCCTCGACTTATCTACGTGTTGATGGTGCTTTCACTGATAAAGCGGTGTGTTGTATTTGAGTATGTTTACATTCCTAATAAGTGTCCTGATTTCCCGTTGGAGGGAGAAAGTGCTTAATATTTATCGTTCGACGGGGCTGAACAATTCAATGAATTAAAATCGACATCGCAGTGTGGCAGAATGCAATTTTCAAATCCCAAGTATGCTATTTGGAAATAAAAGAGAGTCAAGTTAATTGCTTAAAAAGTGGACTGGTTGCGCTCTGCACTTATGACTTACTTATGCTCACAACCCACGTGTTTTGGTAAAGTTGTCGTAATGAATGCTTCAGACTAAAAGTCAGTGTTTAGTAAGTTAACAAATACAGTCATTCACGTCGATAAATAAACGTCTTTCGCATCAATTGGTGGTTTGTTTGCCTTCATTTTACCATAAGCCAACCTATAAGACCAAAATATTGTCATACATATGAATTTATTGCCTGTGTTGATGAAAAAAAAACATGAGAAGAATACCTGTATTGAAGGGGGGGAAAAAAATCACAATTAGATTATTTTTCAAAATCGCTCGGCCCTAATTTACAGACATGTAAACACCACATGAAAGCGTTTGCATGTAGATGCTTGCCTCCGCATCGGCACAGTAAAATCCGAATGGTGTCAGGGTGAGGAGAATGCGCATGAAAGCAGCATTGTTGTCCCTTTGCAGCAGCATGATAATGAGGAGACTATTGCAGATGGTCATGGTTATCCACCCTTATCTGTAGAGGCCATCACAGATGCATCTTCTTTGCATGATAAAGCTTCCCCATCTCCCCTCTTTATTGTTGCTACTTTTAGGCTTGCCCAAACTTTTTTCTGCTCAAGACCGAAATCAACCACACTTAATAAAATACATCACGCAATTAGTACACGAGTGCACTCAGTTTGACACAATATTATTGAGAAAGAAATGAATTACCTTTCTAAACATCATTTCAATTGGACACGTTGACAACAGGGATGCCCAAACTTTTTTGGACCGAAGATCTATTTTTCAAGCAACCGACCTCCCGCGATCAACCCGTTACCACACGTGCACGCATACGCACGCGATGATGAGCAACAGCCAGAATGGCCCCAAATGTGAACGAAATAGAAAAATATAGTTTACACAAGAGTTTGTGAGTTGTTGAAAAGGAAATCACCGCCTACCTTTAGTAGAGACCTGACGCGGAGGCACGGAATGCACTTTCACAGCGTGTTAAGTGCAGAAATTATCGTATGTACCGTTTTAAAATGCTTCTCCCGGTGCTTCGGATTCCCATTCTTTGCCAGTGCCATCGGTGAATTGTACATGAACAAACTTTGAATCAGAATAATAATAAAAGGTATATCACAAGAGCTCTGATCGCAAGCTGCAATTTCAGACTGCTGACCGCGAATAACTTCCCGTGATGCGGATCATGTGATGCAATCGACGTATCGGGGAAACCTCTGCATAACAGTGTTGACTTTCAATCGTGGTAGCATTTCCAGAGGTTAAAGTGCCTACAATTTCTATCGAAATTCCCGGTAAATCGACATACATTTACCGCAGGAAAACATTATTTTAAAAAGTAATTTGCCATTAATGACTTTCCAGTTTTAAAGACCCTGTTTTTGGCAACCCACTTAAATGGTAATTTGCCTTAACTTGTAATTCTTTGTTTGCAGGTGTGGATGGCTCCATGTTTGAGGCGCTGCCCCATACGTCCGAGGTGCCCCAATTCCAGACGTGTCACGCCACCAAGGACCTGTGGCAGCCGTGCTTGTGCTCGTACGGCCTGCGCCTAGAGTGGTACCCGTGCCTGCTCAAGTACTGCCGGAGCCGCGACACCATGGGCAAGGGCTCCACCTACAAGTGTGGCATCAAGAGCTGCAGCAAGGGCTACCACTTTACGTACTACGTCTCTCAAAAACAGCTATGCCTCTGGGACGAAGAGACCTAGTTCGATATGTCTATTCACAGCAACCCTGGGCCGCATTTTATATGATAATGAGTGAAACTGGATCAGTTGGAGCTGTGGCGAGTTCCAGATGTTCATGCTGGGAAGAGGCCTTTTTTTTTTTTTTTGGAAGGAGAAGGGTGGAAAAAAAAAATCACTCAGCGCTAGTCATTTTTGCCTTCAATTTGAAGGGAGACTATTGTCGCCATGGATGACAAACCAGCCAAAAAAGAACAGAACCGAAGGAAAATTTGGATGGTGATGTGCCTTCATCGAAGTCTGTGAAAAAAACACTTCTCAGCAGTCATGGTCAGGGTTTCCCAAACTGTGGTTTTGGGATGGATGTTTGCGGGGGAGGGTTAATCACAAACATGACAAACGATTAAGGTTTGTTGGAATAAGTTAATGTTTGTTATGTTCGTAACCGTTAATTTATCTATAATTTGTGATGCTATGTCGATACGTTTTTTTTGGGGAGGGGTATGGGGACCACTTCCCAATGCTGGATTATTTATTTTGCTCACATATGGACATTCCTGAACTGCTTTTTTTTTCTTTTTTTTTTATCTCAATGATGTCATTTTTGCTCCTCTTCCGCCTCAAAGCAAGCTCTTAATCAACCCAAGATCCTTAAACAACAAGTATTCAAACTCATCCTGGAACGCCTCCGTTTGTGCATCTTTTTTGTTTCCAATCTTTTAATAGGACAGCCTTCGGTTGACCACTTGAACCCATCATCATGGAGTTCATGCCTCCGCCTGATTCCAAGTGTGTGGCAAAATGTGCCAAAGTCAAACGAAAGGTTGTCCAAAAGAAGGGTGTAATGTTTCTGTGGGTGAAAAGAGTCTCTATTCAGGACGACTGTTTGCAATGAACTTTGACACTCACACGCTCATTAACTGCAATGTGGCCTTAGAAGTACCTATACTGCCACCATATGGCCATTTTTAACACGCTCATATTCACTTCGTCTCTTAACAGTGAACCAACTCAAATCTGTGCTCACTAAGAATGTATTCTTCAAAGAGAACTTAGTAAACTTGTGGGACCAAAACAGACAAACATTTGGACTGGTGGCCTTTTTCCTGTGAGCATCTGCCTTAATATTTCTGCCTTTGCCATGTGTGTGTAGGTCAGGGGTGGGCAACGTATTGTGAGCACATTTGAGAAGACCACCATGCAACTTTAAAATAAAACAGGAAGCCAGAAACATTTAACACACAACAGTATACTGTACCTCTGTATCAGAATTCTAATCCATCCAATGTAGCTGAAGTTGTAAAATGTATTTTTCCCCAGTGAAAGAGTTTTTTTATAGAACATGGATATGCGATATGAGGAGGAAATGCAGCAGTTAACTAGTGTGCCATTAAAGAATTGCGTTTTACAAGGACTGTGTCAAAGGTTTTCTTTGCCCTACATTGTTGATTTCCATTATTTGGTCGTATGGCCAATACACTGTCATTGTATGTGTGCAATATTTTCTGAATTTCTTTTATGAAAGGAATCAAATCGTCTTATTAGCAGTCATCATCCAATTCTCTTTAAAATCTAAATTTCAAATTTTATTTAACTGATGTTCATATTCTATATTCTGTTGCTGTACCTGGAATTGTGCATGGGATATGTTTTATCGTCATCAATTTTCTTTTGTGCTTGTCTCCTCATCGGGTTTAAGGGTGAGCTGGAGCATACCTCAGCTGACTTCGGGTGAGAGGTGAGGTACACTGTAGACTGGTCCCCGACCAATCCCAGGACACATCAAGACAAACAATCATTCACTGACATTCACACCTATGGAGATTTTAGTCTTTCATGAACCTAACATGCATGCTTTTGTGATGTGGGAGGGAGCTGGAGTAACCGGTGAAGATGCAAACTCTCTAATAACAGGATAGAAGTTAATCTCTTATAGATATGTGCGGGGGGGGGGGGGACAAAATACCTCTTTAATTTATGTATTTTTTCTTGCTCATTTTCACTTTAATACATATTGATAAATTCTGCATCATTTTTTAAGTATTCTAAATCTATTATTTGACCCCTCACTGCATTAAGGAAGCATTTAGCTATCCATGCATCCACCTTGAATCTGAATTTGATCCGTAATGTCTCTGGGCGCTTCCTCTGTCTGTCCTTAGGATGTCACTGTCGAACAAAAAAACATCCATCGATCGTAAAGTGTCGAAAGACAACCGTGTCATATTGCTAAAATATAGGGAAAAAACACGCAATGATGCCAGTTAAAATGTAATTAAGGATAACAAATACGCCTACTTTCTCGTGGAGTCGTTTTCCTGGTGAGCGTTTAACGCGAGATGGGAAACGAGACGTGAAGCGGTCCTGATGATGGAGAGCTGATGGAGAACAACAGTTAGCAACGACTTCAAGCTAACGTTTATTTATTAGAACTGAAACATATTTTCATTGGACGCTAAATATCAGAAGTGACGTCGTCCACATGTGCGACATTGAGGTAATAATAGTTTTGTTTTTACCACCTGCCAATGGTTGAAAATGGGGGGCAGAGGGGGGTTGTGAGCATGTTAGCTTGCTCCGGCTAACTGGGCAGCATCCCATTCATTGTGTTGTTTTCACGTCCGTTCACATGGTAATTAAACAGGAATGTGCCGTATGCCGTTTGTTTCGCCTTTTGGGTGGGATAATTAATGTCGGTTCATTAATGATATGCGTAAAAACGCACATTGCTCATTTGAAAATGGTTGGTTGACGTTTTTGATCATCACCAGATACTTCTAGAGTAGATACACCATCACATTTTCTTGAGTCGGTACACTACAGGTCAACAGTTTGGCCAGTTTTTTCATACTACACTACAATGGACCTCTGCTCTAGATGCACAAGTCCAGATGTCAAAGTTGCACCTCAATCACTACAGTCTGGCACACCAAAGGTCCTCAAAACCATGATGTGACCTGGATGCATAAAAGTTTCCTGTTTAAAAGCCTATTTTTCCATTTATGTAATGTAATATTTGTCCCCATTAATTCACTTGAATTCCCATAGAAAGTTTCCAACTTTGCACTTGTCTTTTATTTTGCAACCGTAATTGGGAGTTACATTGTGATTTCTACCAAGAACAAACATTTCCAAATGTGTTGACATGACTTGAGGCCCAGTCATCTCTCAACTAATTTTGCATTGCGCAAGGGGAGGCTTCACCGCGCATGGAGCAAGGGCGGCCCGTCTAGTTGCATGGTACAAACGTCACAGCCGACGAAGGAACGTCCCCCTCACCCCACTGGACCCTCAAGGGGTCGACTGTAGTGCTATTCTTGCACAAGCAAAGGCTAATTGTTGTAGAAAGAATATCACAGTGCTTGTACTGTAAGCGATCTCATTCAATAGGATGCTGTTGTTGTCTTCAGAGGAGAACATGGTCGTGCTCGGAGCCCTCCTGAGTATCGCCGGCTGGGTTTCTCTCTACTTCGCCCTATGTCACGTCAACGGCCGCCGCAGCTCTGAGTGGAACTGTCGCCTTGTGACCCTGCTGCACGGCATCCTTGCGGTCAGCATCACGGCCTACATTGGCTACGTGGATGGACCCTGGCCCTTCACTTATCCAGGTAGAAGGTCAATTGTTATTGTTATCAGTGGTTCTCAAAGTTTTTTCATCAAGAATCACCTGAAAAATAACTTGCTCCGTGCCGCTGCTATGACCCACACTAAAATACAGGAGCATAATTCGCCTCACTTTGTTTTTTTAGTATATGATTTAAAACTAACCAAACCATTGACAACAAACCCGCACAATCTAAAAATACAATTTCACCTTTGCACCAATGCTATGGTGAGAATGTAAATGTTGTACACATTCCTTGACACTGGTCTGCATTTGATCTATTTACCAACTGAAATAAAGGAAATAGAAATAATATGTTCCGGAGATAAACTGTAGTCATTCGCAGGGGTGTCAAACCACATTGTGGTTATGGTTTCCATCAGAGGGCTGTTATGATTGTGAAAACCATATCAATATTCGATCCCTTCATCACGTTATTACGTATAAACAACTGCTCGCCTGCATGTCGTTGATGTGATACACACAGTCTAAGAATAAATTTAATTTGAAATCAGAACTCATGGGAAATAGTGACCAGCGAATATACTCCAAAAACTACTTTACAACGTGTTAAGAAACAATTTGATGGAGAAAAAAAAATGGCTCGTAATAACTGAAAAAAAGTGATGCAAAATTGCATGACTAGGGCTGATGTTCTCCCCAAACCAAATTCATTCAGGCACTAATATGAAGGTGACACACACTTCATTTGTTTTAGTGGGGAAGAAAAAAAATCAAGTGGCAGGCTTGAGATCTGTGAAAAAAACATAATTAACTTTATCGGCAATGATTTAAGTCACATTTTAACATTGTTAGTGACTAGAATGGAAGAAGTGGTGTATTTCCTGCACTCTGATTGTTACAACTGAGGACATGGTGTGTTTATGGTTTTATCATTTTCATTCATCCATTTTCTATACTGCTTATCGTCATCAGGGTCGCAGGTGAGTGGGGGTCTATCACAGCTGACTTTGTGCATGAGATGGAGTACAGCCTGGGCTACTTGGTTTTGTGGTTTAAATTATTTTTTTCCCAGTCTCTACGTGTTCCCTGAGGTTGACTGACAACTAACCCGGGCTGTAGTCTACCTTTCACCTAAAGTCAGCTGGGATAGGCTCCAGCTCGACCGCGACCGCGACAGGAGAAGTGGCATAGACGATGAATGTTTGTAATTTACAAATGTGGAAACTTTCGTTTGTGTGTAAAAGGTACAAAGAACACACCACTGCAGATAAGTGCTATGTTGTTGAGCCTGGGCTACTTCGTCTTTGACATGGCCTGGTGCGTCTACTTCCGCACCGAGGGAGCTGTCATGTTGGCCCACCACACCATGAGCATTCTGGGAATCATGCTCACTCTCTGGCTGGGCGAGTCTGGCATCGAGGGCTGCGCCGTCCTCTTCGGCAGCGAGATCACCAACCCGCTGCTGCAGGCGCGCTGGTTCCTCAAGCAGACAGGACACTCCGGCACGCCCCTGGCGCACACTGTGGACGCGCTGTTCGTGCTGCTCTTTGTGCTGATGCGGATCTTCGTGGGAGGGACAATGCTGTACTGTGAGCTGATCTCGCCGAGGCCCAGATTCTTCATCAAGTGCGGGGGCGTGGCCATGTACGCACTATCCTGGGTGTTCATGGTGGACATCGTTCGCTTTGCCGTCCGCAAGAGCAAAAGTTGGCACAAGCAGCAGAGGGAACGACAACAAGCCGCTAATGGTCACGAAAGAAAGACGGACTGAATTCTGACCATAGAGGCTAATTCAATGTTCGTCCGTCCATCCATCCATTTTCTCATCCGCTGATCCTCACAAGGGTCACGGGCGTGCTGGAGACTATCCCAGCTGTCTTTGTTTGGGCTGTAGATGGGGTACCCCCTGAACTGGTTGCCAGTCAGTCGCAGGGCACACAGAGACGAGCAACCATTCACGCTCACATTCACACCTAGGGACAATTTAGAGTGTTCCATTAACCTGCCATGCATGTTTTTGGAATGTGGGAGGAAACCGGAATACCCGGAGAAAACTCAGGCACGGGGAGAACATGCAAACCCTACACAGGAAGGCCGCAGCCGGAATCGAACCCTCCACCTCTCCACTGTGAGATGGACATGCTAACCACCACCGTGCCGACAAATTCAATGTAATCTGTGAAAAAAAAACAGGAAAATTGGGGTAGAGTGGGTTTCTGTGGCTGGAAACTAACAGACGTGGTTACAGCCACTGGAAAAAAAAAAGTGTCTACAAACACAGCCAGTTTGTGTGTGTGCATCATGTAATGGCCACAATTTTTGTATGAGTCATTTTTACCAAAACTGAATAGTATTCACTAGAAGAGTTCAACCAAAGTGTCATCGGACACAGGTGTCAAACTCTGCTCCTCGAAAGCCACCATCCTGCACGTTTTGCATGCCCCCCCTTGCCCTCAAGCACACCTGATTCAAATGATCAGCTCATCCGCAAGCTCTTCAGGAGCCTGATAACGATCCTGATGATTTGAACCAGATGTGTTGGAGGAGGGAAACATCGAAAAAAAAATGGAGGATTGTGGCCCACGAGGACCGTCGATTGACACCTGTGACATATGGCATCGGTATACTGGCTAATGAATAGCATGAAGTCAAACGAGAAGGTTGCCACAGCAGTTTTTTTTTTATCCCTGTCTTTTACTGTATGTCTGTCAGGCATCTTTGAATGTTGAATAGTTTTATTACTTTAGTTTTATTTTGGACGGTTTGGAACATTAGAATGTTTGATGTGAAACAGTTTGATTGTAATTAATGTGGCAAAATGTTCGTTGTCGAGAGGTTGGGGGTTTGAATCTCAACTCTGGCTTTCCTGTAAGGAATTTGCATGTTCTCCGCGCGCTTGGGATTTTTCTAGTTGTTGTTAATTGGATAATGTGGCCATAGGTGTTACTGTATGTCTGAAGGGTTGTTTGTGTACATGTGCCCTGTGATGAGCTAGTGACCAGTCAAGAGCGGTCTTAACCTTTTATCGCAAATTCAGTGTACGTGTGTGTGTGTGTGTGTGTGTGTGTGTGTGTGTGTGTGTGTGTGTGAGAGAGAGAGAGAGAGAGAGAGAGAGAGAGAGAGAGAGAGACAAACTGTGAACAGATGTTGAAGCCTTACTCAGGGAGAAATATTAAACGATTTTAACTTGTTGTTTATTCTGTTGTAAGTCATTCTTCGAAGCTTTTGCCCGAGTTTTGTTGTATCCTCTTGCTCTGTTTATTCTCTTTTGCAATGGCATGCTTTCTGTTTGGTAAAACCATAGTTATAACATGTGACATAGTTATGAGTGAATATAAGGAGAAAGCAAAAAAGTATAGCTGATATGTGCCTTATATTTAGGAGTGTGTTATAATTTTGATTGTCTATTGTACATTTCACAGGATCAGTGAGGAAATTCCCAGAACGAACGTCACAATTAGTGGGATGTTTGTGTTTCTGTTCAATTCTGCAATTGCTCAGCAGTCCCGCGGTGGTGGAAGTGTCGTTGATGTCCACTAGATGGTAATACAGTTTAACAAAATGTTCTGACGAGTGACGTGGATCCCATTTACAGGCGTGTACTGTTTTTATTTATACAGAATGAGCCCCTTTCATGACGATTTTGACTGCGTGAGGAAGCTTCACTCCACGGGACAGTGTTTTAATCAAATAAATGCATTTTGATGAAAGATTGGCAACCCAAAAATATCGAATGGTTGCTGTACCGAGACGCAAATAATTAAATAACCTCATCATCGATCATATGTTTACTTGGATAATGGGAGCTCAAAATGCTTGACTTGTTAACGGTGATAAGCCAGTTAACTCCAGTATGATTTTCATCGCGTTTCAGTTGTCAGAAATATGATGATGATCAAATACAGTACACCTAAAAAGCAACATGAGACTCACCAGCAACAATATCCATTAATAGAAATAAAGGGGGAAAAAAACACGTATTAAAAAAACAGACCTCGGAGTGGGTGTCATTTGACCAGTGTGGCTGACTAGCGTTAACTGGAGGTGAATAAGACATTAAAGCTTTTCAAAATAAATAGAATATAGAAATATCTATTTACGAGTTGAGTGTCATATTTTAAATGTGAGAGTTTTCTTTTTTTCATGTTCTCAAGTATTTTTAGTTTCTTAGTTTTTTTTTCGTGTACGAGCAAACAGCTTCAATTCACGTCATATAACATCACAATTTAGCACTTCCCGGTAGTGTACCACGTATGTATGTATGTATGTATGTATGTATGTATGTATGTATGTATGTATGTATGTATGTATGTGATGTAAATGATATCAAATAGCAATGCCGTTATGCTTTTAATTTTGTTCGTATACCTTTCGATTTTTTTTTTCATTTCCAAAGCCAGGATGCTGTTGGAGTTTTCCCACCGCCCGGCGGAAGTGGTTGTTGGAAGTTCGGAATCGCGGCGGCTAGCATGCTAGGGCGTTGCTAGCAGCAGACACTGGCATTTTTCCTCCTATGTTTCTTCAAGTTTTTAGTCTCGTACAAATGACGTCGACCATTGGGAGAAAAAGTCGCGAGAGAAACTGAAAGTTTTAACGCCTCTTCGACTTTTTGTGTTTGTTCACGACGAGACGCTCGCAGGAGACGGCTTGTTACTTTATGTCCCGTTAGCTTGACCATCCAGCCTAGCCTCCCTTTCCATCCACGGGAATTGTGCTGAGAGACGATCGAGTGACTCCGTTCTGGAAACATGGAGTCAAGGAGCGTCGAGCTGTGTTAACACATACACTTCGCTCGGATTCTCTTCTTCCTTCTCGAAGAGACTTTTTCGAAAGCTGGGGACGCAGAAAAGACCACTGGACACTTATGCAGTTTTTCATCCACTGTTTGGGATTCGGATTTTGTTTGGTTTGCAGTGGAAACAAGAGCACACGACGCGAAGTTATTTTTCCTCTCAATAGAGCTCATTTGTTTTGTTAGCTGAAAGCTAACAAATCTAAACTCTCATTTCCTTTGAGGATTCCCTTACAACCAAGCTTCACGCTATTTTGCAGACTATTTATTTTCCGTTTTGCTCGTTTGTTTTAAACATTACGTTATCGAACGACTCTTCAGAGAAACGGCAAGAATCGAGCAGGATATACCAAACCGCAAAGTGCCGACTGGAGGAATTTGACGGGATCTCCCAGGGACGTTTAGTCCCTTATTCTAACCGGACTGGGGTGGCGGCAGGCTGATTACATCGCTACAGTGTCCGTAAGGTTGGAATACCCGAAAACTGGGACGTGAATGCAAGGGTTACCCGCATGCAATTTGGACCAGCAGTGTTATTTATCACCGAGTGGAAGGATATACTCTTTACCCAGGCCCTGATTCATTTTTAGGGTCTGCACCATTGCAATCCATCTTGCTCTGATCCCCACGTTCCATACATTGAGGATATTTGCCATCTGCATCTCGTTTGCATCTTTTTTTAATATTTATTTTATTTAAAAAAAGCTATTCGTCACGAATGCCAGAGAAGGACGCTCCACCAAGTCGCCTCATCACACTCTGGAAAATGTTAATCGGATATAATTCTCTGCAAATCTAGAACCGGAAGCCCAATGAGTGACACACAGTCCAACTTCACTGACAGGTACAGTATAACACCCAGTTATGCTCTACATCAAGGTTGCCTATTAAGTAGATCGTGAGCTACCAGTAGATCGCGAAGGGAGTGTCGATAGCTCTCATGGAATTAACTCAGTCACTGCCCCCACTTTCATGCTCTTGATATATCTTCCTGTCAATGGCAATGAATGAGTATGAGGGAAAAAAAGAGACTTCCACCTGTCATCCTGGTGAAATGTGTGACTTGATTGACACAGAGGGCAAGCCAGTCAGCCAGTCCTATATATCATCTTGTATATAGGCTATATGAGTTCATGCAGTTTATTAAGGTACACTACTATATATAACTTGCATATAAAGACATACACGTTTATTTTTAAATAAATAAAGTAGGTAGATCATTTTGCCTTGATCATTTTAGAAGTAGCTCGTATGCCAAATAAAGTGTGTGCACCCATGTAAAGTGGAAGCTCCACAGTCAAACACAATTTCTTCATTGACACACTCTGAGGTGTCAGAATTTAATTGAGATAACTTGCGATAATCGGTTCCAGAGTCCTAAAACCTTTATGAAATGTATGGTACAGGCAATATTTTAAAATCTTTTAATTTGTCATTTATGTGCCAACACTTTGAAGTGTCATACCGGTTGAAATAAAAGGTTCACATTAATACCAAAAAAAAAAAAAAAGCCAAATTTATGTATGTTGTTGTTTCATTACTATTGACCCAGCCATATTGTACCGATGAGCCTGGAGTGATAAACATACCCCTTTTGGCACTCTCCTGCTGTTATGTTGTCATAAATTCCATTTCCGATACTGTAATTGTTGTCACACGTTTCCTCTTCGCCATCACTGCCACCCTTCAGTGTTGGCATCACGAAACAGCCAAAGAAAAAGCAAGGCCTTGTATTAGCTTTAGCACTGGATATGTTATGCACATATGTATCGGGTGCCTAGTCTGCGGCTGGCTAACTCGAGTAGAGTCGCATGGATTAATCGAACAATTTAATTTCATTATTAAAAAGAAAACATGTCAAAGCAAAATCTCTGCCTCTGAAGCTTTGCAGGGATCAGTTTTCCACACGCTCTCATGTTACTGCAGTTGCACGTACCACTCTGTGGAAATAAATTGGTGTGATGTTTTCGAGCTAGGAGGAAAAGGACCATAAAAGATAGCGAATGTTCAAAGTTTGGGATAATTTCACAGTATACCACAACACCACAGCATGACTG